GTGTGTGTGTGTGTGTGTATATATATATATATATATATATATATATATATATATATATAATTAATACATTTTATTTTATGTAGTTTTTATTAACTTGTATTTGTTTATTTATTTATTTATTAAAATTAATAACTAAAAGCATATGGATTTGGTGGATTTAATTTCCGGGTGAACAATCTCTTAAAAAGGACACTCTTAAAGACTCATATGTACTCATCATAGCTACTTCTACTTCATAAAGCAAAGTTAAATGTTACTGTAGATGCTTTAAATCAGGCAGTTTCAATGGTGACGCTTTGCATCTGTCTCATAATTGTTCAGGAAATGCTCTTACCTGCTGATTTTGACTTGATCTCTTTACGGTAATTGGCACATATCCTGTTGTAATGGGTGCAGATGTGGTGTAAACACCAGGCAGCGAGTTGATTAGCATTATGGAACTGTCATCAAAACAAGAGAATAAAAAACAAGACGTTAACGTTTGTATGTATTTAGTCTAAATATTGGAATATGATCACTGTAAACAAAGGCTGCCATCTTGTATTCTGAAATGATATATTGTATTTCACTATGAATTCTCACAGCTACTGTCAAATCCTTGAAGGTTATTGTACAGTAGGCTCCAAGGAAGATGAAATGGCACCAATATATAGTGACTTGCAACACTCATGGATGCTTCAAGAAAACCAAAACTGCAAGTTTATTGTATGTAGCTTTGTATGAAAGCATCATATAAATTGCATATTCTAATTACAGTCATACAGATTACCAGATATTTACAGATAGTGATATTGCTGCTGTATTATTCATCAGTAAAGTCATGGCTAATTTTATTGTAGAGACACTGGATGTTTACAGGAAACATCCTGTGTTTCTGAATGCTGTTAAATTACAGTTTAAAGGGGTCATATGATGCAATTTCAAGTTTTCCTTTCTCATTGGAGTGTTACAAGCTGTTCGTGAATAGATAAGATCCCTAAAGTTGCAAAGACTAAAGTCTCAAACCCAAAAAGTTATTCTTTATAAAAGTTAAGACTGGTCCATGCCCTCCTAAAACGCCTCATTTAAACACGCCCCCACATGTCTACGTCACGATGTGGGAAGATTTGCATAACGCCACCCAAATGTTCATGCAAAGAAAGATGGCATGACGTTATTGTTGCTGCCACCGCCGCCGCCATGCTGTGAAGACGCTGTGTGTTTCATTGCGAAAGCGAAACTACTTTGTTTGGCCTTCCAAAAGAGGACACGACTAGAAATCAGTGGTTAAGTTGTATTTACAACACTGTTCCAGAACAGTTCAACCCAAATATTCAGATGTGTGCAGCGTATTTTATGGAGGACTGTTTCCTGATCCTGGTAGAGTAGACTACAATGCCGGCTGTTCTGACTCACGGACTGTAAAGCACAGAATCTGTTAAAAGTACCTTAATGAAAGTATGCTTAAAATTAAGTAGTTTTATACTCATTTGTAGATTATTCCAAGCAACAGAAGCGTTATATTTAGCTCGGTTTGGTCCCAAGGAATATTAAGATATAACATGCATTTGTATTGTATTGTACTGTATTTGTAATTTAATTTGCGTATTTAGAACAGATATTTACGATAACAAGTTTTAACGGTAGGGGCGATTAATCGCCACTCACCAAATTAAACCTACGTGATTAATTGGCACTAATATTTATTTATATTACAATATTAGCACTAATATTTACATTTACACATTTATGACACTTTTATCCACAATCAATTATCCACTTTAATAACTAAAGACAGATTTACCTGAGCAAGCTCTAGATAGGTGAGTACCTCTCCATCAACTTCCTGTCCATCTTTAGATGCTTTTACTAACTCGCTCACAGCGTATTGCTCTGAGGAGAGAAAACATCTGTTAAACAGAAGGCACATTTAGATGAGCTGAAAAAATTGATTTAGAAACCATTTTTACTAGGAAATTGCTAGTAAATTTCACAAAGAATTACAAAGAAAAAGTAAGAAACGCCGAATTAAACATGAAATTTGAAGTAGAAAGACTGAAATTGAATTTTCTAGTTTTATTTACTCCAAACTTCAAAACAAATTCAAGTTATTTACACTCCCTACTCTTGCAGATTGTAAATAAACTGATGCACAAAAAAAGAAAATGTTTTTTCCTCTGGGGCGGCGCAGGCTACACAAAACCTGAGGAAAATAGCTGCATCTGGAGTCACAGATAAATTTCAGCCTGTGACCACCACGTCATTAGATGACGTCCGCCGGACAGATTGTAGTGTGTGCCACACAAAGCTCCGCCGAGACGTTCTCTTTTATTTGGCACCTTGACATCGCTCGTTGCTAAGCAACACAGAATGAAAGGGCTAAAAAGCCTGTTTGCTTTAGATCCGAGGTGGCCCAGCAGCTCTGCCCTGTGCTTGAGGAACGCGTGTGTTGTTTTGTGTGTCATTCGGAGTGTGTGGCAGAGAGCTCACCTGTCAGGGCGATGAGCCGTGGAAGGCACAGTCTGTTGGCCAGGGCGATTAGCTCCATTGGGTCCAGGTCTGCCATGGGTGACAGCTGATTGGTGTAGAGATACTCCAGCACTGCCTGCATACATACCCTGCTGGTGTTGGGGAATGAGACCTGGCAACACACATGTACGCACGTCATTATTCTTCAAACAATCAATTTTGTCAATTCCATCTGGTGCCGCTTAGTCAACGTGAAATAGCGTTTACAAGCCATTTACTTCTGAAATGTTATGATTCTGAGGGAAATAGGAAATCGTTGGGATACAATGTAGAACAAGACTTGACTTTGTTCTTCGGGGATTGATTTCATGGACGATGAAAGTCGGTTAAGAAGCAGAGCAAGTTATAAGTTGCACAAAAAACAACCTGTTGTAACCTGCAGATGTTACCCCAAAGATTTGTTTTTGCTCAGTCTAAACCAATTTGTTAGGTTGATTTAGTCAAACTACTATACATAACAGTTTGACCTCAATAAAACCAGTTTTATTACCATTACCGGTCAAAAGTTGAAAGATTTTTTATTTTATTATTAATATAATAATAATAAAATAATTATTGTATATTTTTAAAGCCTCTTCAAGGCTGCATTTGATTAAAAAAAAAAATAGAGTAAAACATTAAGCGACAATAAAGACATTTATAATGTAATAAAATAATTGTATTTCAAATAAATGCTGTTCAATTAACTTTCTATTCATAAAAGAATCCTGAAAAAAAAATATCATAGTTTCTACATAAATATTATGCAGGAAAGACTGTTTTCAGAATTGATAATAATAAGAACCATTATTAATATTGAATATTATCACCAAATCAGCATATTAAAATGATTTCTGAAGGATCATGTGACCCTGAAGACTGGAGTAATGGCTGTTGAAAATCACAATAAATCAAATTTTAAATTATATTTAAATAGAAAATAATTTTAAATTATAATGATATTTCACAACATAACTGTTTTTTTTTTTTTAAATGTATTTTTAATCTTGGTAAACTTGGTGACTTCTTTCAAAATCATTCAAAAATATAGAAAATAATTTTAAATTATAATGATATTTCACAACATAATTGTTTTTTTTTAAATGTATTTTTAATCTTGGTAAACTTGGACTTCTTTCAAAATCATTAAAAAAAAATCATAATTATTTTTAACTTTTAGTTTTTACAAATATTGTATATAATATTGTTGTTATTACATTTTCTTTTTTATAGAGATTTACTGAATTAATTTTTTAGGGAGTTCTTTTATTTAAAATGGTTTAGTTATTTTTAAATGAAAAATTACACATACAAACCTTTTTTGTAATAACATGCACGGATGATTACATGTTGACTTTCATAGGATTTATAGGTGATTACTAAAGAAGTGTAAAACTCAAATTATTAATCATTATATATTTTAATTCAACAATTATATATATTGTGTATTTAACAGACTCTGATCAGCTGACCTCTGGAGAGGAGACTATTTGGTCTTTAATCTCTATGAAACTGATGGCCGGCTCACCAGCAGTCCAGCATTACTAAGCACATTTGGGCAGCTCACGCAGATAGATGCTGCTATGTAACTCATTACATAATACTCTTCAAGGCAAGCACGGTAGATTGCTGTGTTTTGCCGGGGTAGTCTAATCACTCCAAAAGAGAGTGCAAAGAAAAAGAGGCATGCTCTCACGGATTTCAGCAAGCACTGTGGACTTAAGTCTGAAAGTAGGACGCTGTCTAAAATATATCTGTCCCAATTGTTACACTGGCATGAAATGTCAGAGCACTAAGGCAAAAAAGAAAAAACAAAAACGGCCATCATGTATTGAGTGCCTGGTGCAAAGATTAACCGTAGAGGGAAACAGATCACTGTCTCTGAATGACGTCTGCTTTTCCTCTTTAGGGAGGAAACTCGGTCTGCTTTATTCCACCTGTTAAGGAGGAAATTAATGAACAGTGCCACAGATGAAAGCATCTATTTGGACAGTGGAAACAGGATTAAGTGTGCATGTGGCAGCTGTGGAATGAGCAAAAAGCATAATGTTTGCTTCAAACAGAAGGAAGTATCTGTATCGATTCTGCATCTCAGCTCATCAATTATGAATTATGCATGTAAATGGCTATAAATGGAAAAGTATGAGGCTAACTGTACTATAAGTTTATTATTTATACATTATAAAAATGATTACAAAGACAAAAATATTTTTTTAAATATTGAAAAAATGACTTGTGGAAACTAAATGTAATACTGAAACAAAATAAAAATGAAAGCAGTTTCCCAAATTCCCAAATAAAGTCCTGAATGAACAATTACTACAGCTAAACCGAAATAAAAAATCAATGCAAAACAAAATACAAATAAATGCCACAAAAAAGACAAACACCATGCACTCCAAAAAGGTCATGAGAACTGACAGATCATTCATCACTGCAGAAATAGATTTTCAAAACGTCACTTAGAGACACCAGGATGAGACTATTTTAGTTATTCAAGAATTTGACGCAATTTGTTGACAAGCCAGTGTCTGTAAAATGTGTCAGTGCGCATCTATTTGAGTATGTAAGCGCATGTAAATGTCTGAGCGGTGTGACCTTGTACCATCTGCTTGAGAACTGGCAGACTCATTAATGCTTAGGACGAAATAAAGATGTTCTGTAAACTTGTCAGTGCCCTAACTAGAGCTCATTAAACATTGTTTTCACACTCACCTCATCATTTGCACTCTCCATGAAAGAGCCCCCAAATAAGGCAGCCATCCAGTCACAGCTAGAGATCAGCAGTGGTTTGTGGGCGTTAATGGTGCCATCATCCAACCTGAACACCACATCTGCAAAGAGAGTCCAAAACTGATGAGAAACTGTATTTTACAAAGATATCTTTCAACTAGAATAAGCATATTTCAGGAGGATGTTGCAGCAAATAATTAAAAATAATTTTAAAGAGACTGTGTTTCTTTCTCATTCAGAGTTAAAACAAACACATCTTGGTTCCTCAATACCTGTGAAGTTATTCTTGGCGAGACACTCTTTGATTCGGTTGGCCTTTCTCACATGGAACGCTTTTGTGATCTCTTGATTCATGAAGCCCTCATTGTTCATGATGTTCTCCACCATCATCCTAAGATCAAACACTTCTAGGATCTCTGCGATCTGGGCGATCTTCATCAGGTCCTTCTCCTTCTCATCCAGCTCACCAGTGTAGAGGAAGCGTAGGACAGCACTGAATGGTCCATGGTGGATGGAATGATCCATCTTGACGACAGTCATAAGAGCTGGTGCACCTGTGACCGGATTGATCACGTTCTCCTTGTGGATACTCTGGAAGGCCTTGCTCCAAGAGGCCAGAGACAGTTTGGTGCGCCGGTGCATGCCACTGAAACTCATCATCTTGAGGGTTCCGTCACTCTTGGATGCCCTGAGCGAGCAAGGTGAAAGATTGGGGAGAACGGTGATGTCCTCTTCCGTGTCCAGGCTTAGTGTGCGCATCAGTTGATCCCGCCCGTGACGCTCAGTTACCACCAAGCACTGGGACTCATCTGAGAAGTCCATATGAAAGAGGTCGAAGAATTTGGAGGATGAGGTAGACAGGTAGATCCTGTGGGCAAACAAGTGGATGTGTTCCTGAATGATGAACATAACATCAGCACACAGGGGGCTCTCAAGAAGCTGCTTCGGGCCATCCCGGTTTTTGGTTGGGCACTCAGGGATCTTAATAAGTGGTGGAGGGGCTTTGGGTGGCAAAAATGGTGCCTGCAACAGTGG